AAAAATATTATTTGATTGATGATTTTGCCAACCCTGACACGAGTACTGAAAGGTCAACTGGCTTCTCCTAAAATTGTCTTTTCCCCTTGGTAGATTCTTTCGACTTGCCCCAGAAGTTTAGGTAGAACTTACCTGGATTTGTTCAGTTCTTTCTGGCTTCTACGGGAAACTCTAGCTTCCAACAGGAGTTTCATCTGACTTCGCCTTGAAGATTCTTCCGTCTTATTCGCGAAGTTTCTTCCAACTTTCCCTGGAATCCAAATGCCTACGTCCGCTCGAAGATTCTTTCGTCTTATTCCGGAAGTTTCTTCCAACTTTCTCAGGAAGATTCTCCTAATTTACCCCAGAAACTTCATCCGGCATCTCTAAGAAATGCATCTGCCTTCCCCCGTAAGTGTCTTCCAACTTTCTTCTACCTTCCTTTCAAAAGATTCTTCCGACTGCCTTCGGAAACTCTTCTGGTATCCGCTGGAAAATTCTTCCTAAATTTTCCAGAAGTTTCTTCCGAACTACTTCTTCGCAACTTTCACCGAAAGTTATATCCCATTTCCCCTGGAAACTTTTGGTGAGAAGTATTTCCAGCTGCCTCCCCTTGGTAGATTCTTTCGACTTGCCCCAGAAGTTTAGATAGAACTTACCTGGGTTTATTTAGTTCTTTCTGGTTTCTACGGGAAACTCTAACTTCCAACGGGAGTTTTATCTGACTTCGCCTTGAAGAGTGTCTTCCAACTTTCCCTGGAATCCAAATGCCTACTTTCGCTCGAAGATTCTTTCGTCTTCTTCCGGAAGTTTCTTCCAACTTTATCAGGAAGATTATCCTAATTATCCCCAAAAACTTCATCCGACATCTCTAAGAAATGCATCTGCCTTCCCCCATCAGTTTATTCCTACTTTCTTCTGATTTACTTTCAAAAGATTCTTCCGCCTGCCTTCGGAAACTCTTCTGGCATCCGCTGGAAAATTCTTTCTAAATTTTCCAGAAGTTTCTTCCGAACTACTTCTTTGAAACTTTCACCGAAAGTTATATCCTATTTCCACCGGAAACTTTTTGTGAGAAGTATTTCTAGCTTCCGCTGGCAAGTTTTGCTGACTTCCTCGGAAATTTCTGCTAACTTCATCTGTAAGATTATTTCCATTTTCTTCGTAAGTTTCATTCTCCCAGAAATTATTCTGGAATCCTCTGAAAGTGTCTTCCAACTTTGTGTTGCCTTCCTGCTGGAAGTTTTTTTACTCTTTCCTTCCGATTTTTTTTTACGATTTCCTTCGGAAGTTTCTTTTGGATTTCCAAAGACGCTTTCTAGAAGATTTTTTCAAATTTTTCCGGACATTTTTCCAGACTTCTCTAGAACTTATGCCATATTGTGCATCTCGAAACGAAACGCTTTTTGTACGAACGCTTGTATGAAAAAGTTTTTCGTTTCGAGATGCGCGATGTGGCCCCTTGTTTCCGTCGATCCTCGGATGTTTCTTAAGCCTTCCTCCAAAAGTGTTTTCTCTGGAATTCTCTTCTGGCGTCCAGAAGTTTTTTTTCCGGCTACCTTTTTGGATATTTTTCGTCTGTTCCCGGAAGTTTCATTCAACTTACCGCGGAGTTTCTGAAAAAAATTTCCTAGGAAATTGTGGTCCGGGTGGTGTGGTCTATTCTTAAGTTAACATTTTAAATATAAATTTTGCAAAAAAAAAGGTTTATCCCGGGAACCCGAATCAGATTCCCGGGAATCGAAAAACGAGATTTTCGTCATTTTCCGGGATGTACCATTATGATCTCGCACGGGCAGAACTTCTCTACGTTGTGTGAATAGATGGTGAAAATAAAACACGGTCGTTTATGGGGCCATCCTGTCATGGCAGAGGCATGCGAACTATTAAATTTATTTGCAATCTTGACAATAGAACGGTAGGCATGATAACACTATGCTTGCGGCACTTGGGTGTTGATATGAGTATTTGGGTAGGGTAGTTGCACACGTTTTGTACAAACATACTCCCCCCAAAACCAACGGTTTTCCATTGATGACAGTAATTAATTACGAGAATAATTGAATGAAGACGAAACACAAGAAAACTGCTCGATTATCCGGCAAGAACACTCGCCTTTTGTAGTGAGTATGTTTCTTGATCAGAACTGCCATAGTCCACGGTGAATCAAGAACGCGTACATACTCAGCTAAACTACCACGAGGGCCACACCATCTAAGTACTAATCGCGCCCAATGTTGCTTAACTTCGGTGATCGGACGAGAACCGGTGTTTTCAACGAGTGTACCCCATTAGGCATACGGACGTTGGGCATACGGACGTTAGGCATACGGACACTAGGCATAATGGACGTTAGGCATAAAGTCATTAGGCATAATGGACGTTAGGCATAATATACGTTAGGGATAATGGACGTTAGACATAAAATACCTTGCTGCTGTGCAACTCTAGAAACCTGTTGCGAGCATGGTAAACAATGCTTAAATTAGGCTAAGCGTTGAATAAAAAATGATACAAGTTAAACAAACATAGTTTCTTTCATAAGCACAGTTTGGAATCCATTATTTATCATATCATAAGTGACGTACACACTACGAAAAAGAAATGTAAATTTCAGTGCCCTGAGACCGACACATGCAAGCGGCCCTTTTGACATAAGAATCAGTTGAAAAGGATGAGAAAATCAATAAAATCAAACGCACTTTTCGTTGAGTTGCATAGGTTTCAGTTTCAGAACACTTAATTTTACATGCCATGTTTGTTTGCGTTCCATGATTGACGTCAAAGCTGATTTCTAAGCGTGTAGCTACATATTTACTTCGATCCAAGATTAGTAGCGATAGCGGTTAAGTAATCTGGCAATGAAAACTCAGCATAGTTTTAAACTATAAATTGAAATCATTCGCATCTAGAAATAAAAAAATCACACATTTGATGTAATATATTCTTACACACATATTACAATTGTCAAAGAAGAAAAAAATTTCCTCAAAGAACAGCTCATGAAATAAAGAATGGTGAATTCTGTGATTTTTCATTCAATAACAAAAAACAGCTAAGTTTAAATAAAATATTATGCAAAAGAACAGCTCATGAAATGAAGAATGGTGAATTCTGTGGTTTTTCATTCAATATCTGCTGCTGCTGCTGCCATACTTTTCGATACAACGATTCTATTTTTGTTGTCATCAGAATGAAAACTAGCGGAACCGACTGCTGATGATGTGATGTGAGCGATACTTCCATGAACAGTGACGAGTTGCCGAAACAAACAAGGAACTGTGGCAAACGTACCATCTGTAACCCAATACTTTGCCTGTCCAAGACGTCGCAAGTTTTCATGATTTCCACAAATTAAGGCTCTTTCATTATTGTCACCGAAGTCAGCAATCAATAGACGGTCCCCATTATCATCCTTCTGGAATTCATCGGGTAGATTCTGCCTAACGTCCATTATGCCTATCGTACATTATGCCTAACGTCCGTATGCCTAACGACCGTATGCCTAACGTCGTGTACCCGTTTTCAACATGGTATGATCGTTGACTTAATCCCCCTTTTTTCCCCTTATTTAACGTCGGTCTCTGTTCCGCAATCGAGTGCCAATCACCGGCGAGCGTCGATCGCCAATTGCTAATTAATCACCGACGGCATACGAGTGCCAGGGAGGTGTCAAAGCGTTGGCTCAGGTGACACGTTTCCATACAAATGGAAACTTTGTGCCAGGGAGGTGACTTTCACGAATACCCGATCAAAGATTTTTCGCCTCTAAATATCCCAACGACCTCGGCTGGAATTGAGCGAAGACCCAGTGGGATGAGAAAGCTGTTACGCTTGCTATTCAACCACTACTGGAGCCGTCAGTTCCCATGACAATATCCCCACAAGTTGCATGTACATGGCCAGGACAGTTCTCGATCTTGGAAGATGTATCACTTTCATCTAAGAGTCAATAATTAATCCCAAACTGTTGACTTTGATCATTCGGGTTAACGTTCATTTAAAATTTCTATTTATTAGGGCGGATTGACAATAATGTAGGACTTGTACCACCTACGAATTTGAGTTACTTAATCTTAGGCAGCGATAGAGTTATTGTACGATGATTTCACTAGATTCGTATCATCGAACCAAACTAATCAACTATATTGAAACTTCCGTATGCGAGCCTATCTGAATTTCCCTAAAATATTGATGAGTATACAAATGACCATCGCACGACAAGCTTGCTTCAGCGATCACTTGACGTGACAGTAAAATAATTGACAAATTGAGTTCACGTAGTATTTACTTGTGCTGTGCTCCCCTTACCTTCCCCTATAGCGACAAATGTTTTTTTTTTACCGCTGCTCTCTAGTCAGGTCATGGTTGAATGATTCCAAAGTTAATACCAACCAGCGAAAAAAATAAACACAAAGCATAGAAAGTGATGGGTTGTGCTCTGTAGGAGGAGAAACAATTGAATTTTTTCAGCTTCCTACTGTCCCCCTGGCTTGGCTCTGTTCGACCTATGATGGGTTTCGAAGGGGTGCAGGAGGCTGAAATCAATTGACTGTGTTAGAGGGAAGAAAGGTGCCTCAAAAGGTGAACCTACAAGTGTTTCGCTCAAGAAGCTACCCCTTTCCCTCCCTTCTTCTATGTTCGTTGGTTGTCCATCTATATCTGCTTGCCGATTACGTGATGGTGTATTTTTTGCCCGGGGCTCGAAAATCAATGGGAACGGTTATTATAATTGAGCCGACCGACCGACCGACCGTTTCCTTCTTCAACTGTATTCAATGACACAAATGCGACAAAATATTTGTTCGGCTATTGTAGCTTGTAGCCGAAGGTGTGGGATTGGAAGAAAATGCCTTTTACGCTGAATGAATGCTTAATTACACTATCGTGAAAAAGGTATTTAGGTTGTGTTGTGAATTGGACGTGATTTGAATGGAAACCTGCTTGCCGATTGATTTTCGTTCGATTTGATATTAAAACTATTAAAATGGGATTATTAATGAGGAAATCTTTGTTTTCAGGTCACAAAAATCTTCTCCAACCGGTTATCCCCACCAGTCCTACCCGGGTCAATATCCGGGCACACTTCAAGGCCATCAACAGCAGCATGGAAGCGGTCCGCCACCGTTGCACAGTAAACCCAACTTTAACAGTTCACCACTGGGTCAAGGTCCATCTTCTGCCCCGCCCTCTCATACCAATCATGTGCACCATCAAGGCATGCACGGACCAACGGCGACCGGTCAGCCGGGTATGGCAGCACCACAGCTTGATCTTGGGCCCAGCAATCCCGTTCCTCATCATCACCACCATCATCCAAATCACATGGGTGGACCTGCTGCCGCGTCTACCCTTCAACACCAGCAGCAGCAACAGCAGAATCATCCACCTCACCACCACCATCAGCAGCAACAGGCTATGCCGCCCGGTAGCAACGGTCCCATGAATGGTCCCGGTCAGTTCCCAGGTCACCATCAACCCACCATACACCACAAGATGCCATCGCCCGCTTCGATTGCAGGATCGACTGCGGAGCCGAATGTAAATAGTATGAACAACAACCATCCCAGTACAAAGGCCAACTCGCGAGCTTCCAGCTCCAGCGGTGGAAACATCTCGGTGGCGCATAGTACGACCTCGTCTGTGCAAACGGGAAGCGCCAGCCAAGGTGGTTCCGGGTCGACAAAAACCGAGCAGCGGTTAACCCACGAGCAGGTATGATACAGAACTGGAAACTGTTAGATAAGATTGTTTAATTAATAACTATTTCAATTACAGTTCCGAGCAGCATTACAGATGGTCGTTTCAGCTGGTGATCCGCGAGAGAATCTCGAAAACTTTACCAAAATCGGTGAAGGATCCACGGGAACAGTTTGCATTGCGACGGACAAATCGACAGGTAAGTTTTGAGAATTATCGTATTCTACTCAGAATCACCCAGGAATTCTCCTTGATGTTCTTTTCGCAACTCCCATGGAACAATTCTAAGAATTACCTAGGAATTCAATTCAGAACTCTCGCCAGAAATTCCTTGGAATTCATCTCAGAATGCCTTAGGACATTATATCTGAATTATCTTGGAATGCTGTTCAGAACTACCGTAAGATGTTCATCTGAATTTTGTAGCATTTCTCTTAAATTAACTCTTAAATGCTTTTTAAATACTCCTAAAAAATCCATAAGTATTCTGCTCAAAATTCTATGATTTTTTTTAAATTGCTGGAGCCCTGAACATTCTTCCAAGTTGCAGAGCAAAACAGGACCAAAATAATGTTTTTTTTCAATCTGGGATCTTGTAAATTTTCCAATATTACACATTTTGAGTATTTTTTCCAATCCCATATTTTAAAATAAATTAAATTACTTTTTTCTTCTCCGATCAAAGCGCAAAGCTTCAGAATTAAATTTTCTTAATCTAAATTTTAAAGATTTCTGTTAGTACATTCTAATGTTCAAACATTTCCTTACTTCGAGATCTCCAACAATTTTCTCTAGATCGTATTTGTATCTAGTTAAAGATTCCTTAAACAACTTCTTAATTCAATCTCTCACTCTTTGTAAATCGGTCCAATGACCCATTCAGCACAGGCCGTTCGGCCTACTGACGCTAAAAATATTGTTTATCCAAAAGTAAATGATATTATCGAGATACTAAGAAAAATCCATTTGCAGCACTTTGCCAAGCCTGAGAACTTCCTGATCAACTGGATCATGGCATATTTTTATGGCCACTAGGCCGAACGATATTGAGAAATTGTTCAAGAAATCTTTAACTTCCCCAGTAACACATTTGGTTTTGGTTTTCATAAGGTTTCAAGCTACGTAAACACTTCTGGGATTTTCAATACCCTCCTGATCTTACATCCAATATATTAATGATCTTTGTATGAACTGTTCACGCTATTAATATTTCTGAGACCCCTTACTTCCCATGTAAGAAAACGTAAGCGTAATTTCAAACACCCCCTCCACCATTAAGTGCTTACGTAATTATTGAAAGGCTCCTAGAATAGACTTGAAGACCATAATAAAACCGAAATTGTTGCTTGGGATGATACTCGATAGTGATATATTTTTTTACACGCTGAACTGACAGATTCATAATTAATTAATAATTAATTAAATGACTAGCTGACCCATCATTGTGGGACGACTGTAAAACAATAGATCAAAACATCGTTAAGATCAATGGTTTAGTTTTCAATATATCAAGCGAGCCATTTTATAGAATTATACTTTCAGTTTTGATAAATATTTCCTATAAAACTGTAATTTAAGACAATTTACCCAGAAATATCATCGCAAATTTTCAATTGGTCACGTATTAAACCGGGATTGTTTGAGTTGTAAATCCAAAAAGCCGAGAAGAAAACGGGAATTTAAAAATTACCATTCACTGGGCACCCTGAATTCGGGCATGGTATAGTTTGATCGTTTCGTCAGTTGGTGTGGATTTGTTCATATAGAAATCATCTCCATTTTATTCGATCCATGGCTGCATGTCGCCAGCCACGATGTCTGCGGTGGATCCGCAGATCACCCAACGACAAACGGACATGAATAACCATAGCAAAAACAATAAAATTTCTGACCAAAGAACACTAATGGCATCTAGCTCCGGGTTCGCAAGAAATATTTAGCTAAGCCATGAACCCGTATGAAAAAGTTATGAATTGGTTCGTGCTTGATCTATTCTGGACAAATTATTTTTATCTAGATCAAAAAATCCTATGGTTTTGACATTTCGGATCACTGCACATTTAAATTGACCGTTTACGATTTTTGGGCATAAGTCAGAAATAAGTGTAATGTCGGTTTGTCAATGGATCACTTTCCAACTAGTCAATCCACCTAGCCTGCTGTGTGTCGCTTCGTATTGTTCCAGTTGGGTCTTTTTCGACAACAATTTTCACTGGGCTGTCGTGCGACATGGTAGTCGCCCGATCGGTGAATCCAAGAAGATCCTGAAAATCCAAAGTGATTTTAAACGGCAAACACGAAAGCCATCACCTTGCCATAATCCTCTTCGAGATGCGTTGGGTCTCGATAGTGTCCCCGATACTAATATTATCTACTAACTCTACTAGTATCAAGAAATATCGAAAAAAGGATAATAGATTTTGGCTCCGCAAAGCTGCCACATTGAGCCTTAAAAAGTAAATGAACAGTTAAACAAAAATAGCCTTCGCTAGGTATTTTTCACTGAATTTTTAAAGGAATTTCAAGCACCTGACATGAAATACCTTTTCTAACGGTTCATCCCTTAACGTTCGTTGAAGTCACCAAAGACTTTTGATTGCCAAAATCGCTTAAATCTGGCGCCAGATTTGAAGGACGTTTCGCTGAAAGTAATTTTGCCGAATGGGTCATTTCACCGACGAGCATGCCATTTTCTACGGTTTTGAACTTTTCTGAAAGCTCAGTAAATTTGGGAATCAGTCTCGAAAAAAGATTAAGAAGATTCGATTTTTTCAAGCTGGAAAGCTATTCAAATGTAATGCTACCTTCTTTTGAACATGAGCAGTTCTTTCGAGTTGCACTGATTTCGGAAATGTTTAAATAATTAATGTTTTACATTTGTAGAAATGTTTCCTTGTTTTAAACATGACCAGTTCTTTCAAGTTGTGCCGATTTCAGAAATTTTTAAATAATCAATATTTTTGATTTATAGGAATGCTTCCTTCTTTTAAACATGAGCCGTTCTTTCGAGTTGTAAAATTCGGCAAAATGACCCTTTCGGCGAAATGCACTTCGGCGAAACGTCCTTCGGCGAGATGATACAGCTCCAATTCAATCATCTAACATTTTAACTCCTCATCTTTACATTGCAGGTCGTCAGGTCGCCGTCAAAAAGATGGATCTGCGAAAGCAGCAACGGCGGGAGTTGCTGTTCAACGAAGTCGTCATCATGAGGGACTATCATCATCCTAACATTGTGGAAACCTACAGCAGCTTCCTGGTGAACGATGAGCTTTGGGTCGTGATGGAGTATCTGGAGGGAGGTGCCCTGACCGACATTGTTACCCATTCGCGCATGGACGAGGAGCAGATTGCCACCGTGTGTAAGCAATGCCTGAAGGCACTGTCATATCTACACTCGCAGGTATGTTTCGTGGTGATGGGTTTTGTAAGCGTGTGGTTTGTGTTTTCATGTTTTGTCTATATGTGTCTCTTCCAAAAGGGTGTGATTCATCGGGACATCAAGTCCGACTCGATTCTACTAGCGTCCGATGGTAGGGTTAAGCTGTCCGATTTTGGCTTCTGTGCGCAAGTGTCGCAAGAGCTGCCGAAGCGTAAGTCACTGGTCGGCACTCCGTACTGGATGTCACCTGAGGTAATCTCTCGGCTTCCATACGGGCCCGAGGTGGACATTTGGTCCCTTGGTATAATGGTTATTGAGATGATCGACGGTGAACCGCCGTTCTTCAACGAACCCCCGCTACAGGCCATGCGAAGGATCCGGGACATGCCACCGCCAAAGTTGAAGAATTCTCATAAGGTGTCGAGCCGGTTACAGAACTTCCTCGATCGTATGTTGGTCAGGGATCCGGTACAGCGAGCAACCGCTGCCGAGCTACTAGCTCATCCCTTTCTTAGACAGGCCGGACCACCGTCCCTGTTAGTTCCGTTAATGCGCGGAGCTCGACACAGTAATTGTTAAGTTTTCTACCGAGTACTCGGAACGTATTCTGGAATAATGTTTTAGCACGGCTCGAACCTTAAGGATTATCGAAACGAAAGTGACCTTCGGATTGTGTATATAGTTACGACATTAGTGAAACGAGAATAAATCATTCATGTTCTCTGCTTCTGATCAAGCGACTTATTGTCGCTGACGTTGTGCAGCGCTATCACTGCGCTTTATCGAGCACGTTTTACTTCGAACCAGGAACCAAGTAACGGTTTGTATTTTAAACATATTTTAACGTAATTAGTTTGTTGAAAGCTAAGCTATTTTGCCTTATATAATTCGTTATAAGAATATTTTACACACATAGCTAGTGTAGGAGAGATATGTAGCTAAGACAATTGAACGCCCTTGATTCTCTGGACAGCATTTTCTAGTAATAATAGCACACAATTCGTTCCACTCACACATAGAACCTAGCTTTAGAAAGCAAAATCTCCTTCAACACACGAATCAACAGTATCGAAAACAGCGGATAATACGTTACTTAAAGGAAACGAACCGTAAACGAAACATTCCAGCAGTATTTTCTAGCAAATACGCAGCCAACGAATCCTCTTTCAATCTCCAAATCGAACAGAAAAGATAGTGTCAATGGGCAATCACTGCATTTGCCATTTACGATTGTTTTAATTTTACTACTACGAATGTTAATTGTTTTTAAAACGCCAGGAATAGTATTTTAGTTCAACTAAATGCGTTCGGTTTACACGAAATTTTACACGCTACCTAGTTTTAGCTATTGTTTTCGTGCAGTCTGATTGTACGGAAACCCAGAAACGATTCCCACTCAAGTATTTATTTTTTTCTTCTCAACGAAAAACAAAAACAATCTTCCACAATCCACTCAAAGAAAGTTTTGCAACAACTTTCCCTCCGAGAGTACTCTCAAGCGGTAACGATAAGGACTGAGACACGAGAACATAGGAATTACATATATTTAATGTAGGCATGAGTATCGTTTGCGATCACAGGAAACGAATGGCAGCGAATGGAATTTATTTTAAATGGTGAGATATGTTTACAATTTATACAGTTACAGTTTATTATTGGTATTATATGACTAAATGAGCATAAAGTACGTTCTACTTATACAATACAACTTATATACATGGAATGTTGCTGTAAAAATGAACTCTAATCATATTGCTAGCTTATTAAGAAAAACCTACTACTTAGGGAAATAGTACGTTAAAAGCATGTTATGAATGTATAAATCTCGAGAGATTTTAAATAAACGTAGTAGTAAAAAGCATGCTTCTCCTGAACTTTTCTTTGATGACATTTCATACGTACTTTACGATAATCCAATGGTCTAGGGATTTTACATACAATTGTTCACCAATGGAAACTAAAAAATGGTTCCTGATGAATGTGGGAGTCTATAGTGGAATACTAGTATACTGAAAAAAAATTTCGACTTTTAGTACAATACACTGTAGAAGTTTACACATTGACGAGGCTTGGTAGCTCAGTGGTTACCGTTTCTGCTTACTGAGCAGAAGGTCGGCAATTCAATCACAGACCAGTCTCCTTCCTTGCAATTTCTCCCTTTGCCTTATTATATCCCCACTAGATTTAAATGAAAACGAATTCTGCTTTAATCACAACCGATTGCATCACTTACCACAGTTTGAATCCTGATCTCCACCTCACTAACACAACTATCCTCCCCGTGAAAGCCGTGGGGATGCAGAGGTGTATTCGGTCTCTAGTAACAAAACGGCCGTCGAACTAATCATCCTTCCCTCCCCAAAAGACCGTGAGGACGACGTGGCCGGCGCTCTGTAATTGATCTGTGCGTGCGTGTACATTTGAAGATGAAAAGCTAATCCCATGCACCATCTACGTGGTTATCTGTACAAGTGCATTAGTTCTGATCAATCACGGAGGAGCCACTACGAAATGCGCAGTCTTAGCTAAAAAAAAAATACACTACTGAGGCAAATAGACCTAAGAATTTCATAAGGGGCTCGACTTATGAACAACATATGTATATGTACATGTATATGAATTTCATAAGCGTGACTTATGAATGATTTTCGGGTAACATGAGGTAGCTCTTTTACACATACGCCTTTAACCATTTCATTTTCCTAAGCGTTGAAAGACGAGTGGTAAACACACGGCCCCCTAACCTAAGCGTCCATTTTCTGGTTTGCTCCGATTTATTATTTTTTTGTCAACATTATTTTTCATAAGGTAAATCAATGAAATTCACACTCTTATTGCTAAAATTCATAAGTGTTTCTTATGGAGTTTTACGTTCTTTTGCCTGCGTGTAGAAGTCTGCACATTGTAGACGAAATACGCGTATAAGCGGCGTCTCTCACCCCAACAGGCCTGGGTTCAATAACATCTCTGATCCGTTGGTCCCCGGTTCATGAGTTGATGTGTCGATAGGTAGGGTCCAGGTGTGGGAGCTGCATCCCTGGCGTCGGTAGCATTGGTGCTCAGCACGGAAAACAAATCAAGGAAAAAAGAAATACGCATATCTATCAAGTATAAACAATTAAGGTAGTGGAATTTAGTGGAAATTACTAATTCTTCTCTCTTTCAGTATACAGAAATGGTTTTTTAAAGCAAGCAAAAAAAATGTTCTGGGCACTTCCAGCCCAGCGTTCGTTTTTGTTTTTAATGGTTCTTCCTAAGCAATTTTAAAGAGTTTCTGAGATCGGAGAACTGTCTTTAATTAAAATTCCAGAGAACAGATGATTGGGGTAAATAGCTACTTCGGCCTAAGTGCCTACTTTTGTCTCATGCTTTAGTTAAAAAGCTACAACTTTGGCTTTGACGCTTTTTACGAAATTTTGTCTGCTCTCAACTTAGTCTTCTTTAAAGTAGTTCTACAGTTATTTTTTTGACTCTTCATTTGTTTCAAATTCAAATTAAATCACATTCCATTTTAACCTAAGTGCTCCACCTACTACAGTAACTTACCAGCCTTAATTGTTATGATATATATCTTGAGTTTTTACATAGTTCCTGTCTTGGCAATTCAGTATTTTAAATAGGTTTTCTATACCTGCTTGTCAGTATAACAATTGACATCTTAAAACTAAAAACTAAAACTAAATCTTATCTAAATATAAAGGTAATTAATTGTTGCAAATGAGGATTGCAACGAGTGTTGCCTGAAATTATCATTCAAGTTGTTGGACATTTTTTTCTAAAGTCTCAACATTCTATGTACCTCGGTAGTATTGTACCAGGGAGGCAACTTCAAAATCATCTTCAGAACTTTGTTCTGAATCTTTTGAAGTGCTTTTTTCCTGGTAGTGCAACAACTAGACCATATTGGCACAACGTAAAGCATGGCCGGTATAAAAACTTGTTTAAATATTATAAGTTTATTCGTCAGGCAAAGTTTGGATTTCCTGTTTATAAGAAGATACAAACATTTTATATATTTGTTACATTTGGCTTGAATGCCTTCAATGTGATCTTTAAAAGTAAATTTTTCAGGGTGTCTACTACCTTAAAAAAAAACTTGGAAAACCGGGAATTTGCAGGGATTTTAATTTTTTTCTGGAAAAACCTGGAATATTCAAGGAATTTAGGTTCCACTCTGGGAATTTTCCAATTTTCACTTAATTCGTAATTCAAAAGAAGTTTTTCGTTCAGTTTCTCGAAACGTTTCTTAAGGGCACTAAACTGGACAAGCATCTGACAGCTACGACAACGTGTGCGAGGCAACTTGCGGGCTTAAACCGGTGTGCTTAAGGGAAACATTCTCTGGTGTCGAAATGAACTCGTTTCTTACCTACATGAAGTCATCTGCTCCGTCGCCGTGAATCCTGTCAGCAGCCCTATCTGTTAACAGTGGAAGTGAGGAAAGTTCGTTGTTGCAACTGTCTTCTAAATCAGCTACGAGCACAAATCAATCGTCATCCGGTCAACCTCTCAACCAGTTTATTACTAAAAAAGAAGTGACCGAAGCAGAAATACTATGGTGCATCGAAACCGTCATGAGCCATAAGTCGTTACGGGCACCAGAAAAGGATGTGCTAGACTTAAAAAGAATGTTCGGAGATAGCAACATTGCTAGTAGGATGCAGTTAAAGAAGGACAAAATTGCTTACGTAATTATGTATGACATTGCTCCGTACTTCAAAGCTGAACTCATTGAAAACGTGAATTAGTGTGATTTTTTCTGGCTGGGTTCGATGAATCATTGAACAAAGTTACAAAAAAACAACAAATGGATATCAATATCCGATATTGGAATAACACCACCAATGAGATTGAAACTAGATGTTTCATGTCACGGTTTTTGTCCAGATCCCGAGCAACTGATTTGTTGGATTCTTTTCGAGAAGTTATAAATACGCTGAATACGGATAAGATGATTCAAGTATCTATGGATTGCCCCAAGGCGTTTCTCCGGGAGCTCAACTTGGAGTTAAAGAAGGGAGATACAAAATTTCTTGATTTGGGCTCTTGTGGGATTCATATTATGCATGGAGCTTTCAAAGATGGGATTCGAGCAACCGAACGGCCAGTTGTCTCATACTTGCATGCTTTGCATAACTTATTCAAAGATGTTCCAGCTCGACGAGCGTTTTATGTGCAATATTCGGGGAGTGATGTGTTTCCACTGAAATTCTGCGGTCATAGATGGCTCGAAAATGCAGAAGTGGCGAAGAGAGCAATAGAGAACATTTGCAGTATTCGAAAATTTGTGAACGGAGTGAAGACAGATAAAGCTGAGCCGAAGTGTAAATCATACAGTGATGTTGTAAAATTCGTGAACGACAGATCCATTGCTACAGCAATAGAACCACTTTTGCGAGAGTTACAAACGGATAATCCGACGGTGCCCTTCTACAGTGCATTAAACGGTCTGATTATGAATCTTTGCGAAAAAATTTAAAACCGGTGAAAATGCTTGGCATAACTCTTGAATCAGTTAAAGATTCTGAAAACCATCTACCGTCAAGAAATGTTATTATAGGTTTTGATACTAAAAAGGCACTGAAAGACTTGAAAGTAAAGGAATTGACGGTTTTGACGTTTCGTAACGAATGCAAAACCTGTTTGATAACTATTGTTTGTAAATTACTAACCATATCGCCGATCACGTATCCTTTGAGAAAGGCTGCTAGTTCCTTAGATCCGAGTACCATCGTGAGTGATATCTGTGTAGCAAAGCGTCGTCTGGACAAACTTCTTATCATATTGATCGACTGTGGAAGGATTAGTGGACCTACAGGTGACTCAGCAGCTAGATAATACCGTTCCATTACGACACGATCACAAGTTACAGAATCCTGTATATCATACGATCGCCGCCAAACTCGTTTTGGATCATTTCTGGAGAGATATGCTTGCCGAAAACTACGAAGACTTGCTCGTGGTCGTAAAAATCGTATGCTGCTTGTCACATGGGAATGCCAATGTGGAGAGGGGTTTTTCAATAAACAGTAAATGTTTGTTTGAAAATCTGATGGAGGAATCCCTGGTAGTCCGACGGCAAGTGTACGATGCAGTGACGCAGAAAGGCGGTATGGCTAATCTTGATATATCAAAATCTCTATTGCTTCGGGCGCGCAATGCTCACTCTTTGTATATGGAGGATCAAAATCGTCGTAAAAAGGAAACAGCCGAAGAAGAGAGACTGGCAACCGTCAGAAAGAAGCATGCCGCTAAAGCTCAGGAGTTAGAACAAAAGAGGCGAAAAATACGCAAAACGAAGCGAATGTGCTGGCGGAAAAAATTAATTCGTTAAAAAAATGAATAATTTTGCTTTTTATTTGTTACCACTTTCTCTAAATTGATCAAATCAATAACAATAAAAACACATGTATCTCATAGAAACTTTTGTTGATTGGGGAACTAATAAGAGATTTTAGAGTTATGAAACCATGATTTCTTCTATCTTGATCTTCCAAACAGAGTTGGACTCAAACATATTATCAAAATGATATTTTGTTTTTGAAAGCATATCAAATTTTGATATATCGTTTTATCGAAATAGTATAGATGGGGTTTCCAAAACACAGGTTTCTTACTTGTATTTATATTCTTGAATTAAAAAAATACTACACAATTACCAAAAAAGAATGCAATATTGATCGACGTAATGCATGCTACTGTATCAATAACTAATGTGATTGCAAAAACCAAATACAATATTACACCCATGGATATAATTTATTTTCGCAAATTTTGTGTAGAATAAATGCACCAATAGTGGAAGTACTTAAGCGCAATGTGTTCCTATGGTGGCTTATAGAGTCTCCCTAAGTCACTATAGAAGTACATTGCACTAACGTACCTCCACTATTGGTGCATTTACTAAACATAAATTGTACAAATTAATATAAAACAACCTAAGTGCATCTGTTATGCTGTAATATTCAATAACTTTTTTGCTGTGCCGTCTTATAAGTACCAATTGAGTTTGAACATTCGAAAATAACATAAATCAATAAGTACATAAAACGGGTTCCAGATGGATAATTAAAAAAAATAATAATGTGTAAAATTTTTATGCACCTGGAATTTTTTTCATCCGACCTGGAAAACACAGGGAATTTGATTCCTTGGATTGAGTAGACACCCTGTTTTTGGTCAAGTGCTAATCCAAGATATTTCACTTCACTTCAGGGAATTGGAACTCCGTTCATAGTGACTATGTGACTACTACTAGGTTTCAAAAAGAAAGCTCTAGGCTTATGTGGAAATATTATAAGTTGAGTTTTGGAAGCGTTGGGAGAAATCTTCCATTTTTGTAAATAAGAAGAAAAAATATCTAAACTTTTCTGCAGTCTGCTGCAAATAACACGAAGACTTCTTCCTTTAGCGGAAATGCCTGTGTCATCGGCGAACAAAGATTTGTGGCAACCCTGAGGCAAATCAGGGAGGTCCGAAGTGAAAATGTTATACAATATAGGACAAAGGATGCTACCCTGAGGAACTTCAGCTCTAACAGGTAGTCATTTAGATTTTGAATTTTGTTAATTTACCTGTAGAGTTAGCTAGTTAGTTTTCTTTATTAAGGGCTGGTTCGCCTCCAGCAACCTGCAGAGTTCTGTCGGTTAAATAATTTTGAACTAATTTCATAATATAGAGTGGAACATTAAACTTTTTCAATTTAGCAATCAAACACTGTCGAATGCTTTTTCTATGTCTAGAAGAGCAACTCCAGCTGCTCGCCGTCAGATTTGTTTGAATGAATTAAATTGGTAACTCGTAAGAGTTGATGAGTAGTTGAATGCCAATGGCAAAATCCAAACTGTTCATCTGCAAAAATTGAGTTCGTATTGATGTGAAGCATCATTCTATTTATAATTATCTTTTCAAAAAGTTTACTTATTGAAGAAAGCAAACTTATTGGACGGTAGATAGAACAGTTGAAGATCGTCGTCTATTATAATTGAATCGAATTTAACCTCTCATTTTGGTACTGAGGCAGCTCTTGCTTCAACTATAGAAGTAGTTAGAGATTCAAGAGCATAATTAATTTCATCTTTGGTTTGCAAATATATGTTTGGATCAAATTATTATTATTATTTATCTTTATTAGGGAGGCTTTCAGCCTTGGGCTGGTTCGCCTCCAACTGTTTGGATCAAAGCTATATTCCATAAATGATCGATATTGCTCCCAATCAGCTCTATGGTAATTGAAAGTAGAGCTGTTGGGATTAGAAATTATTCCTTGGGATATTTCAAAAGTTACTGGAGGGTGATCAGAACCAAAGTCAGCATGTGGTTACAAAAGTTGACATGAATCAGTTAAGACCAATTCAATAGTTGAGGGATTTCTTGCTGCAGAAAAGCATGTTGGACTGTTTGGATATTGAATAGGGCAACAATCGTCAAACAGAATATTACCATTGGAATTACTTTGAGCATTATTCCATGCATTAAAATCATCAATAATGAAGAATTTAGACCTATGACGGGTAAGATTCTGCAGGTCACCCTTGATAAAATTCTTTTGCCGGCCTACGCATTGGAACGGCAAATAGGCAACTCTAAACGTAAGTTGTCTAAATTTTGTTTCGACAGAAACTCCCAAAGTTTCAAAAACTTTGCTTTCAAATGAAGAAAGAATTTGATGTTTGATATGTCTATGGACAATGATGGCAACGCCACCGCCGTCCATCAAGACGCTCATTTCGATAAATGAATTAATTTCCCAAGTAACCAAAAGGTCTGATAAAAGGCTATTTGAGGCTTAAGCAGCTTGGTTGATGGTGGTCTACAGAATTCTTATCAGCCTCATTTTTAAGTCGTTATAAGAACTTGAAATCAGTGTGCACCGGCTGTCGACAAAAGCAGGCCACTCTCGATGTGTACCACGCGATCGTCTGCTTTCTCGGCAGCAACCATTGTGTGGTCCTACTCATTGTTCTTCATCAGCAGTTCTTTCGGTCGATGCGTCGTCGACTTTGGAAAGCAACCGTTTCGTGATGAGTGTGTGAGTGCTGACTACGTTTTGCGTCCATTGCCGCAATGGAAGCGCTATGACCCTCATTGGCGTAACTGCCATACAATGAAACCACTGGAAGCGGCTCCAGTTCTGATGGAGGAGGCTTTTTGGATAGCGGAAGATAAAGTGTTTATTGTGTTGTACCTTTTGACTATAGCTTTAAGAAGTTCCGGTAACATAATTGAAGAGCATTCTAAGCAGGTTCCGACGGAACTTGAACGGAAATGTTAGAAAATAAGTTAAAAAAGCTTTTTGTTCTCTAAACCAATAAATATGATGTGACAGAGTGATGGTTTTCGTATTATTTCATTATATTTATGTTGCAATTCATAATTAAATCAAAATTCATTACATCATGAATGACCCTGATAAGGGTAATCTAAGAACTTTGCTATAAAGCTGGGTTTAGACAGGGCAAGTCAATTGATCAAGTCATTTGAATTCAACTGACTTGAACGCGAATTGAATGTGTAAACTAGACAGGGTCTAGTATAAGAGAGGAGCGGACTGGCTGGTCTTCAGCCAAACGAACTGTCAAAGCCAGAGCCAATCGAGCAGCACCTATCTTGATTGCATTGGCAGTGTTGCTAGAAATCACCTAGGCATGGGTTGCAAAGGCAGTTTGTTTTGAATCCGCTCCTCTCTTATACTAGACCCTCTCTAGTGTAAACCATGCCATTCAACTGACTTGATCAAATCACTTGAATTGAAAAAAGTTTGACCAGGCTAAACTTTTCAAGCCAATTGAATTCAACTGAGTTGATCGTTTGACTTGCCTAGGCTAAACACAGCTTAAAGGAAAAACAGGTAAAAATGCCATATCCAGAGAAGGACTAACATGAAAAACGGATCTGTGCTTTATGAGAGTTTGCAAACGTGTTAGGCAAATCAGAGGTTATATAATGGATAACACCATTCATCATTCAGGTAAAATGGCGTTTTCTGCCACTCGAACTTTGGCGTGGATTAGTGTTTTGATTTTTTCTTTTCTTCTAGAACCTGATTTATGGTTGTACGAGGTCAGTCAAAGTGGACCAAGGAGTCCGAACCAACTGTTGAAATGAGTGGACTAAATGAACTGATGAACACTATGAAGATGCCACTGTTAGAATATGTACCTATACAGAGCATATGAAATAAACAACTGATTGAAGTTTATACTCGACACCGAGATGTACTAGTGTTTTCATTTACCGCTAAAAGAAAGGTGCTCCTCAGTAAAATGCTAAGCTAGAAAAATCAGGAATGTATTGCATCATTTTCATAAATTCTGCTATAAAGGGTCGTTTTAAAACTGCTCGACAATATGCATCGCAAATACTACCTAGTAAGTAAGAATGAGTTAGGAATTCCAAATAGACAATAGCTTTATTTGGTTTGATCGAGAAATAATATTTTAAATATGGCTAGGCGATGACAAGGTTTTGCTTTTCTATTTAATTCCGCAACAAAGTTACTGGCAAATAGGATTGCTTAACGTTAATTTTCCAGCAACCTAAATGAATACTGCACCACAAAGCCTTGATGCCTTTGATGCGTAGTCGTGACCGATGCGGTCAATTTAACCAAATGTACTTCAGAAAATACCACAGAAAACGGTTAGAATGACTCATATATTGAATCTGCAAATGCTATGGTCAACTTCCACCGATAACAGTCTGCATCAGATTCGGATAAAAAAGACCTACAAAGGATTGGCACGAAGAAGTATGATGGTCATGGGATTGACGGTGTTTTTGTTTCTAAGAGATATTTTTACGATTCTATCAATCACCCTATTAATGTTGGCCGAATTTCACACATCAATCTTATATCTGTGATCCTTATTTCACGCATCAACAGAAGGACAAGTGACGTGCTAGGAAAGGGAAACCATACCAATGCCATTGCCAGTACCAGCAGTTTCACAATAAATACTTCTAAAAATACACCCATTTATTTCATCATTAGTTTTATTAGACCTTTTTCTGTCATTGTTCACCATCGTATTTAATAGGATATTATTTATAGATTTTATTTTTGCTTCAGGATATTTCACATTCTGCATTTTTCCGCTCAAAAAACTGCTTGTTTGCTACACACTACTCTGGAGTTACATCACGTCAGCAGACAGACTCCCATCTCGGTTATCATTATAATGCGGACCGCTGTTCATCGACGCATCCAATCGAAAATAATCTGTCCCGCATCGTCGCTTCGTTGTCGTCGTCGTCGTCCTGTGTCACTGCATTTCAGTTGATGTTTGTGCTTTTCCACCGTCGTGACCTATTTTCCAATGCTTCTCTTTCTCCCGACCAAGGACGTCGTCACTATCGTCATATCGTCGCTTATCATTATTAATGCGCCGCATTTGTTGTTACGTATAATGTGGGAAGCTTTTCCTTTCAACAAGATAAAGCGGACGAACCGCAGACTACATGGATTAGGCTGGTTCTAAGCATGGAGGATTTAAATAAATTGTTCCTTGTAAAATTGGGACATCGTATCACATAATGCAAGGCTTCTAAGCAAAGGAATTTAAAGTTAGGAATGCACAATTTCGGAAAACATCTTGTCAGAATCAGTCTAGCTCATATCGTTGCACACGCCGTTGGCATAAATTGTCAACTCTTTCTCACAATAAGCAGCACATGCATTGCATATGTATGGTTCGTGCCCCGGAATGAGTTTGACAAATCATACCATCAGCGACAGCCGGGTTAGTGGGTGGCGTAGGTGGAATCCTCGTGGTGATGGGACTCTCTCCACTGTTGCCTAACCTCAGTCATCTAAGGATGTTGGCAGAATGGTGACATTCAATCATAATAACTGGTTTTCTTATTTACTCGCATATTAAATTCAGACGCGTCGTGTCTGCCTCTGGTGTTGTAACTCAACACGTCCTTTCTTTTAACGACAATCGGAGAGTTAAGATAGTGATAGTGATAAAAATACTAATATCCTGCTTGCATCCTTCATTGAACTTTTTTTTTTGTTTGCTTGTTAATTCTCCATCTTTATGGTAAGCCATAAAATTATCCTAAAAACATATATTTCAATTAGTTCTTGTCTTTTATCGTTTAAATTTAGCTGCTCGCATTGTCTATTCCGTTATCTTGTATAGCTTTGGTTAAGATTTTACTGGCTTTAGTCTATAGGATTTTAGTTTTGAAACAGTCACTAGTTAAGTAGAATTTAAAGGGTTCTTTGCAGCTGTGGTTGTTAGATTCGGTAACTTGCCTAAACTTGGAGAGTTTAGTGTTTGTACGTTTATGTTTTATAACAGTGATATCAAACATATCAAACTGGATGGAAGTTCGCCGAAAGGAGTTTCAGATAAATCAGTAACGAATCTAATTAATTTACAAATAAAATTCTTTTAACTCTGAATTACTCTGCCCTTAGGAGCCTGTCTGTTACATGCTGCAAAACGCAGACAATTGTTTTTTTCCGATGTCAGATAAATCAATCGATATTTTTTAATTTTTTTTTAGGTCAATCTTATTTGAAGAATAAATTAATTTTAAATGCATATTACTAATGTTGTTAAGCAAAACAAAAATTAAAAAATTGTCAAAATATAAATTTAATGGAACTGATATGCATCCATTGACATGTACCCGGATAGGAAAGCAGGCCATGTAGCATAACAACTGTTGATTTGATTTGGTTTGATTTGATTTTCTTTGTTAAAAAAAACAAACTGTTTCGTATACGTACATTGGACATAATAGTACTATGAGGATTGGAATTGGTTATGTAACTTCAGATTGTATACTATATTTACAATTCTGGAAGTGCCTAGAACCCCTGAACTTCTCAGGGAATTTTCCAACGTGAAAGTATCAGGAAGTTTGTGTTTCCACGAAGTTGTGAAATGTACTTCTTGAATATCATCAGTGACAAAGTTTTCTCTTATTATGGAGACTTGTAACAGTTATGTGGCGTTATGGCGCTAGTCCACATGAAGTTAATCTCACCTACCTACGTTTAAAAATCTGGAAAAACTTGTTTTCAACATGAGTTAGGCCGTATAGCGAATTAGGGGAGCACATAACTGGCATGTTCTATATGAAGTTTTGGAATTTTCATGGTAGGCCTAATCTCTGGATATATAATCGAAGTACACTTGAAGTTTCTCAGACCAAATCATGAAATTTCCTAGATCGGTCCCATAATTTCGCGTCTCAGTTCTCAATCTAAGAACCTCGTTTTTACATCATACAGCCTTTGCTATGCGCTTATTACGAAATTCATAACGAGTATTAAGATTTCCTCACGCAAAATGCGAACAAGAAACACTATGCCAAATGTCCATATCCGAAAGATCATTAAGATTATTGACTATGTACCGAATGTATGAACTGATCCGGTTTTAGTATGGTTTCTTCCCATACTGCTACTTCGCATAGCAACTCTTCTACAGCCCCGCAACATATCACAGAAAATTATAATACAAATACGTACGAATACTGCTAATTCAGTGTTATTCGCCTGGAATAGCCGGCAAATATTTTCCATGCTCCAAAGTTCCAGACTATTCAAACATTTTGAGTATTAGAGCTAACCTACAAAATAAGTATAAACTATCCAGCTGAATCAAATTTAAGCCGCGATAGGTCGAAAACTTTACAATTTTCTTCATTCATTGGTTTCTCTTTTTGGTTGTTGACTGTTTGGTTGCTTCAATCTTATTACAACTGTTTCATTATAACCTACGTATATGCGTTCTTCAAATACTTTTCTTTGTTTATTTTTGGTTTCACAATTTTATGTAAGTCACGGATAACAATAAAGAAGTTGAACATCGAGAATTTTCCGTTAAACGCCCAGTTCGTCCCTGTGTGTCTGTGTACAAAAAAACACTCACTCGCAATTCGATTCATACACTAGCTTGGAATCATCCCCTGTCTAGCCCAATCAATTGTCAATCTCTATCGGCGCGTCGTCGATTGTGTGAAGCCAGTTGAAGATGAGCATGTGGCGCTCGTACTTGGACAGCGGTTTGCCCCGTTCGCTTTCGATGTCCAAAAACGTTAGGTTCTTCTTGGCGTTTGACTTACTGGAGGATTTCTTCGACTGCATCGATGTCACCATTGGGGTAGCAGACGGACTAGCCGAACCCGTGGCCAATGGACTAGAGTCCAAATTTACAGATTTTCCACCGACCGGTGATGCGGAAGCGTGCGTCGTAGGCACCACCAGTTCTGTTGGACCCGGATTACTGAAGTTGTTCGCAGCAAAGGCGGCCGCTTCCAAGCGGTCCAGATTGAACTCACTTTGGGAAAGTCTTTCGATTGCACGATAAGTATTGTACAGCCGCCGTTGGATGTAGTTTTGGCGTATTTTCTTGTTTACCGAGCTGATCAGATCGGACACGGTAAAACTTGGCGTTGGAGTGGAATTGCAGATCGTGGGGACCTGATTGGAGGATTGTCCACCGTGGGGCGAAGGCAGTTGTGATGTGGAAGCAAGTTCCCCTACCGCTACCCAGGTCGAGTACGAACGGGACGTGTGGTCTAGACGAGGGTGTTCGAACAGGTAACCGGCTTTTTGGAACGGAGTCAACGCTAGCTCTGAAGTCGATAGCCGTCCTCCAAGATTGTTCTGATCGGACGGCAGCTGGTAGATGTCGGTTGTGCTGAAGCTCTTGTGAATGCCGAGGGCAGCCGAAAGGGTGGCACAGTTGCGTATAAGATCATTGCTTTCACTCCACTTTTCCGTGAGCGTTGACGATCTGTGGAGGAAATTAAAAAAAATGTAAAGAGATTAATCCACCTATTTCTCATAGGTGTATTTCTTAGGACGGGAAATACCTAATTTTAACATTTGACGAATTTATCCGAATCTAGTATAATTCAAAAGAGGCTTCTACAGCACTAATATAGGGTAGAATGAATGTAGATTAGTCTATTTGAAAAGTAACGCGAGAATTATTTTTAATCGGTTATATCATAGTTGAAGATGCTAATTTCAAATAACAGACTGTAGTGGTAATTTTTATACGATAGATGGAGTAGATGAAAGCATAGAGTTGATAGTTCCGTTAGAGTACGGCAGTGTGAAGATTGTATATAGATATTAGAAAAGCAAGCTAGGACAACTTTTAAGGAAGGTACAAATCGGTTTTTTCATCTCTCTTTACCAAACTCCCCCTTTGGAGAGGGATGGTGAGGGGTGCCAGTGGTGGCGGAGGGGGACAACGGAACTATCAACTCTATGCTTTCATCTACTCCATCTTTTTTTTTTTTGTTTATTAATTTATTTGATAAGGCTCAACCGAATTAACTTTACAGAGCCGAGGATTCTTGTTCACTATACAATAAATCTTAAAACTATAGTCAAAAGGTACAACACAATAAACACTTTATCTTCCGCTATCCTAAAAGCCTCCTCCATCAGAACTGGAGCCGCTTCCAGTGGTTTCATTGTATGGCAAATTGTTGTACGCCAACGAGGGTCAGAGCGCGTCCATTGCAGCAATGGACGCAAAACGTGGTCAGCACTCACACACTCATCACGAAACGGTTGCTTTCCAAAGTCGACGACGCATCGACCGAAAGAACTGCTGATGAAGAACAATGAGGAGGACCACACAATGGTTGCTGCCGAGAAAACAGACGATCGCGTAGCACACATCGAGAGTGGCCTGCTTTTGTCGACAGCCGAGTGAACACTCCTCTACTCCATCTATCGTATAAAAATTACCACTACAGTCTGTTATTTGAAATTAGCATCTTCAACTATGTAAATCGTTGACTTCACGTAGAAGTAATACTAAAAACATATAGTCAAAGGTTATATCATGCCAAGTAAGTCATTAACTTCTCCAGAGGATCATCACCCATCGTTTTAAACATGTGCTGCACTCTCATTGGTATAAAAATGACAGCGCAGCGAACATGAATTTTAACATGGAAATTCAGTTGCCATCCTAAACATGTCACTGCAAGCAAGTAACATCAGGACTACTCCTGATGAAAGGGACATTTGTTTCCACTGCTTTCATTATTACTAAATCTAATTACCATTTTCCAAAAACCGTCATTCAAATAGTTAATAGGGGAAATGGATGTAAAAATGGTCTAAATGCTCCTAATTTGGGCCCATACATAAATTCAGCAATCGACTAAATTTTCAATAACGACCAAAAATATCCTTTAGTACCGTCCCAATGACACGTTCATCTAGATAAAATTGATAAATAGCAGATTTTTAGTGATGGGCCCAATCTTAGATCCATAGGCCAACATCAGAGCCATTTCCCCTACTTTTGCAAGTTATGAGCGGGGGTAAGCCAAAATTTTGGAAATCCGTACAACCATTTTTTGTAGATCGTGTATCGATAAAGTGTCCCAAATTTGTATCTTGGTAGTCCTATTTAAATAACACCTACTCTCGTAAAGATTTGATTTGTTCATTAAAATATCATCGTAGCCAGCTCAATAGAAGGACACTTAAGCAATTTATGGAAGAAAATCAACTAAATAATGAGTTACCATTAATTTTAAGTTCGTTGTTGGAAGCACTTGCCTTAAGCGTCCGAAATATGAATCAGAATGGTATTGAGCTCCTTCTTGAAAAAGTTGATTATGAATACTTCATATAACCAAAATCAGTTTTTTTTAGAATAAAACTTGATCGATATGAATATCCACAAAATTTTATTGAAATCTTCGATTAGCTGGAGATCTTTTGAATAGTTCCTGATCAACATGACATTTTGGGAGAAAATCTGTGGGACGACATTTTATTTTTGAACAGTTGGAGAAGTTCAGAATAATATTAGATCAACCTGTAAATTCAAACATTACTGATTTTTGGCTCCGCAAAGTGTCACACAGGACTGAGCCTAGTAAATAAACGGCAACACTACGAATCAATTGAATGTTTCAAACCCTATTCTACCTAGGATCAAAGGTTTACCAAAGATTCACAAACCAGGAAACGAAATGAGGGAGATTATCTCGGCTGAAGGATCCCCCACTCATAAGCTTGCCAAATGGCTAATAAAGGAATTTCAAAATATGCCTAAACCCTTTTCCACTCGCTCAGTTAACAGCACATAGGAATTCGCAAGTCAGCTTCAGGCATCAGGAGAGATTCGGGAAGATGAAGTCATGGTTTCATTTGATGTCACAGCTCTTTTTCCGAGTGTACCAGTAAAGGAAGCCATCAGCCTTTTAGAGGACTGGCTTCTGAAGCAACGGGAGGATTTTACTTGGAAAAGCAAAGTTCGGTCATATCTCAAGCTTACTCGTCTTTGTATGGAGGAACATTATTTAATTTTCAGAGGAAATTTGTATAAACAAACTAAAGGCGCTCCTATGGGCAATCCGCTTTCTCCATTTTTATGTGAATTGTTCATGGCTAACCTAGAAAATACTCTGGAGGATAGGAATTTGTTGCCCAAATGTTGGTATAGGGACGTGGATGACATCTTTAGCATTGTCAAAAGGGAAGATTTATCAAAAACTTTGGGGGCCATAAGCAACGTTCACAAGGACATCAAATTTACTCACGAAGAAGAGAGAGACGGCAAACTCCCCTTCTTAGATCTTCTCATCATCAGGGAAACGTCTTCGTTTAATTTCGAAATCTTTAGGAAACCACCAAACACAAAGAGAGTAATACCAAGCACTTCAAACCATTCCCATCAACACAAAATGGCCGCTTTTCACCACATGGTTCACAGGATGCAAACTCTTCCTCTTAGCGATACAGGCAAATCGAAGGAAATAGCTCACATTTTTGAAATCGCTGGACTTAATGGGTATCAAGAAAAAACAATTCAAGCAGTAATCGATAAAAGAACAAGGGATCATTTTAGGCGTATTTCGACAACTCTTACACCAGTAACTGAGGGTTTAAAACGGGTAGCGATGAATTTCGACAAACACATTACCAAACCATTGATTTCAAAGTTTAGAAGTTTTGGCCTAGATTTAGTATTCAGCAGTAGGACAAATCAGCTGAAGTCACTGTTAGGATCAACTAAAGATTCAATAAATGTCTTAGGGAAAGCTGGAGTCTACAAAATCTCTTGTCCAGATTGCAATAAAATCTACATTGGTCAGACGAAAAGGACTTTGGAAACAAGGTTTAAGGAACACATCGCAGAGGTAAAAAAGGCTAATAAAGAGATGGACTTCATTATGAATTTAAATCCAAGGTTGTAGAACATATCGTTACAAAGGGCACAATTTGACTAAGGATAACATTAATATCCTGCGGACTGTATCTTCGACTTAGGAACTAGACGTAACTGAAAGTTTAGAAATATTTAAACATAATCCATCAACATTGCTTAAAGGGTGATACGGTCAAAATTTGGTCAAGGGAAAACGCGTGTAAATCGGTGAAATCGTTTATTTAAAAAATCAAATTAAATTTCTTTTTCAAGTTCAATTAGTATAAAGTTCAGGAAAAATATTCAGTTAGGCTTCCGCTTTTCCAAATCCGAATTGCCGGGCCTTACGCTTGACCCCTGCCATCAGATTTTGTACAGCCACCTTGTCCACCTTCTTCGCCGCAGAAAGCCAGTTTGCCTTGAACTGCTGCTCGCCCTTAGCAATTTTTTGGTCTTCTTTAGGTTCCGCTTGACAATAGCCCAGTATTTCGCTGCTCTTCTTGCTTGGACGGCATTTTGACAACTGAAGAGTGAATTCCAAAATCAAAATAGGAGCAACATTCTACACACACACACCTTCAAAATGAGGGGTGTTCAGGTTTTTTAAATGCAAAATTGAAAGAAATACGTCAAGTTGATATTGACCAAATTTTGACCGTATCACCCTTTAATAGAGATCAAGGAAACGGATACTCGAGACTCTTTAGCATGCTACCTAAAACAACACATCGTAGACTACCTGAGACTGAATTTAGGTATATGGTTAGGTAAATTTTGACATGGCAGTGGATACCTGCTGATTTTTAGTACCTATTCATTAGTTAGTTGACTCGTAGATAAAAGATGGATTCTTCAGTGGTGTTGAGTATTTGGCACTGATGAAGTCTGCAAGTAGTAGACGAAATACGCGTATCTGTCAAAAGATAAGCAATTATAACGGAATTTAAAGCAAATAAACCAACCCGCTCAAAGCTCTTCATAAAGGGATTCCGTTAAGAGGTTCGACAAATTTAAAGGATTAAACGAACTAGTTAAAAAAACAGAAGCCTTGACAAATGTCCAGAGTAGTTAATTTAAATCTTCGATCAACTGGAAATCTTTTAAATTCTTTCTGAGCAACCAGCCGTCTTGGAAGAATATCTGAGCGACACCATTTAAATTTTTGAACAGTTGGAAATCTTCAGCATGAATTTCATCAACCTTAAGTGAAGATCTTCAGCTATCCATCTTGATCAGCCTTGATCAACCAGAAATATTTAGGGAATATCTGGATACGTAATTTAAATTTTTCGATCTTCAACATAATACTTGATCAAGCTGAATTCTTGAATACAGAGAACATGATTGACTATTGTCACCTCACTCGTGACAGCGAGTCACCTCATCTCACTCGCGGTGCAGAATAGGCCTCAATATTCCCTGAACATCTACAAAGTTCAAAGTTCCCTCATCACTACTTCTAGAAAATCTTTCAAACTTCTAAGAGGCTCCCTGAACTTATTCCATGTTCCATAATTATTTTTTCCAACCTCTTTTGTTTGGACCAAGTTCTCAGAACATTCACGAACTTCTCCAGAGTTCCGGGAAGACTCTAAACTTGTTCTATG